TCAATTGCGATTCATGCATATGAAATTGAGCCTATTGACAAGTACAATGCTATTTTAACAGTTTCTTTTTTTTAAATATAAAGGAATTTGATGCTCTTACACTGCTTTTGGAAAATAGTGTACCAATTTCTGGTGGCGCCTCAGAGTCGCCACTGGAGTGCAAAGGGTTAACAGATCGTCGCGCGAACGCCGATTATAGTCGGCACCCGTACACACGGGTCGTCTCGCGGCCGCCGACTATAGTCGGCACCCGGAACGAAAGGGTTAATTACGCGCGTAGATTCTAATATTTAAAGAAAAATCAAGGTTAAAATCGGTTACGCGTAAACTTCCAGTGGTTATAATTCAGTCTTCGGAAAAAAGCCGAGAACTTGTTCCAGCGCTGTGTTTAACCCTTTCGGTACGAGCGCCGGATATATCCGGCATCCAATTGATGACCAATATGGACGAGTGCCGAATACATCTGGCATCCATGTAAGCCATATTTCTGACATATTAGAAACTATTCTAATAACCATTCGAGTCCCAAGCAGCGCTATCACGCTGTTTGGCATTTTTCGACCGTGTTTTCTGAATAATCCCTGGGACTCAAACGGATAAAGTCTTTTCTTACAAGGATTCCGAAGAAACAGCTACAGGTATAATTGTCGTTCGATCTGAATTGATTTAAAAAATTTCAGGTTACATTTTTCTTCGAAACTTGTTCATAGATTTTAACATATTGTAGGCCCTTTACAGAATGTTTACAGAAAACAAAAGATTTAGAAACGGATTAAGTACAGTCATTGCTTAACGCTTAAGAAAATCTTCGTACAAAAGTGGACCGACCCTGCGTTATGTGCGCATTTTCGGCGCGGCACCCCCTACGGTGGGAGTGTCACGGCGGACAACGCGCTCGTACCGAAAGGGTTAACGCATTTAGGCGACGCCGCTGCGAAACGCCCGCAAGATTATCCGAAGATGTTCGACTTAGCGATAGTAAATAAAGGTTCGGCATGTTACGGCGAACGACAGAACGATGACTAGTAATTAGTCAAATGAGAAAACCGCGTACTTGGCCACCTGTAGAAAGGGGTGTGTCGGAACGACAGCGCTACTCGTAAAGTAGCACGCGATAAAGCTGCATAATGACCGCGATCATTATTATTATTGGGCCGCGCGCGTGATCCCGGCGCGGCGCGGCACCGCAGCGGCATGCGGCAGTCCGTTCCCTCCTCAGTGGGGATTTTTATGAAGACACGCTAATTACTGCGCGTCCGTGCCCGTCGGAGTTGTCCATTTTGTAGCGTCCCGAAAGCGTCAATTTCGTCGTTGTCGGTTATTATGCTTCTCGATTTGCGCCGCGCTCGCATGAACTTCCTCGCCGCATTAAACGCGCCACACTTTATTTTTTTCGATTAATCACTGAACCGGCAAAAAGCATGGTGTTCAAACAGCGCTGCTCCGACCGAGAGATCGTATCGTTATCGGCACGATATTTTCCGTTCGACGCACTTATTGTTAGTAAAAACTCGTAAACGGCTTAAGGTCGCTTCGATTGCGATCGAAGATACTTTATAAAAATGCAGTCGGCTGTGATGCTATGTATGTTGTTTCTACAAAGTAAAGTATCTTAGACGAGCTTTCGTACGAAAGTTAATAAAATTTGTGAAAATTAATAAATCGCGCGACGCTTGATAATTTACTTATGCTTTCAGGCAAGCAAACCTCAAAAGTCATGGTCATTCCTTCAGAATTTTAATCGGAGTTCACTGGTTTTAACAACGGTTAGTTTTTTGGGATTTTTTATTCACGGCTATTACGGTTGAATGGAATTATGAGCAGAAGCTCGCAGTCGCACGAATGTACGTGTAACTGCTAAATTGAGAAAATTAGAGAAACAGGAGTAGCTAATTTCATCAAATTAGTACTGCCCGAAGTGTATCAGATCTGTAATAATCGGAATCAGCTAACTTTATTAAATTAGTACTGCCTGTAATGCACCAATAGCGATCAAAATTAATTAACTTTATCACGTTACTATTGCTTGCAAAGTACCAAATTTTTAATCAAATTATACCGCCTGAAATATAGTAAATTTTTCATAGCCAGAATTAGCTCACTACAGGGCGTTCTAAAAGTTATTAAAAACCGGGAAATGTTCCTGAAATCATTTCGAATAACTTTTCCCACAACGCAAATGCAATCCGCGGTTTTGTTTACGAGCTATCGACGAAAAACGTTGACCAATGAGAGGCGAGCTCGACCGGCGCAAGGCCGCAGAGCCAACGAGCGGACGAAGCCCAGTTCCGCTCATTGGCTCGGCCGCCTCGCGCCAGCTGAACTGGGATTACGACGGATCTGTGAATATGACGGGGTGGGGGAGAGAAGAGAAGAGAATGGACGAAGTGCGAATAAAACAGTGGAATGCGCGGGGAGAGGGGCGGGAATGGGGATCCAAGAAACGTAACCACGAGGGGACAATAAATACATATCGATATCGATATCGACGCAAGCCGCAAGTTAGCCTCGAACGATTCGAGTGAACCATTACAGACTATTGCTGAACTATTAAAAAGCGGCGAAAGATTGGCTAGGCGATTCCTCGGAGGCTCGCGATCCTCTTATCCCCTGGCCAATCAATGAATTCTGTCGAAGACCGCAGCGAATGGATTATTATTGCTTTCCCGGGCTCCATGGCCGACAACAAATTGCTGGTAGCGTCGCGATAGCATCGCAACGGAACGCAGGCGAATGCCATCTCGACTTCGTGGAAGATCGATCAGCGAGCTCCGTATGCCGCGGCTAACGCAATTCCACCGGGGCTAATCAATACCTTCACCTTTCCGGGTGCATCTACCGTCGGGCATTCCCAATTGTATTGCAAATCGTCGGATTCGTGGAAGGACTTCGCCATTTCCCGTGCCGCATTGCACGCGTCTTCGGCTTTCCTTTCGATTGCGGCCTCCACGAGCAAGAAGCATTCGAGGAAACCGTCTTTTCTGCAATTAATCATCGACGGATTGTACACAGAAATGGACAATTTCAGAAGAGGAGATACGATTATTCGAGCTCTGTTCTTAATCATCGACGGATTACAGTAATGTCTCCCTAACTGACGCTCAGATTGTACACAGAAATGGACAATTTGGGAAGAGGAGACACGATTATTCGAGGCTTGCGGTTTGTTTTCGTAGTTACGAATTGTCAAGGTTATGTCAAGGTTATGCATGGCTCGAACAATCGCATCTCTTTTTCCCAAATTGTCCATTTTTGGGGACAATCTGAGCGCATCAGTAAGGGAGACATTACTGTAATAATAAAACTATTATCTACACATTTTCAAATTCGATTTTCTCCTAAACGAAGCTTCAAACAGAAAAATGTTATTCCTTTTTTTCGACTTATTTTCGCAAGTAGAATCGCCACACCCATTGTTGACAATTCGTGGCTATAAAAATGAACCGCAAGGAGGGAGAATAATCGCATCTCCTCTCCCTAAATTGTCCATTTTTGTGGACAATCTAAGCGTCAATTAGAGAGACATTACTGTAGTTGTTGTCTATTCTTCTATAGCAGTTGCTAGATAAGTTCTTGTGGACTAATCTATAAATATACAGATTAGTCCACAGTGTTAGTCTATAATATATAAGTCTATAAGTTTTTGTGGAGAATCTAAGCGTCAATTGGAGAGACATTACTGTAGTTGTTGTCTATTCTTCTATAGCGGTTGCCTCCGTCCAAGGATAGTGTTTACAAACATTAATTTTGCAAACAGTAGTAAACGGTAGGCTCGAATAATCGTATCTCCTCTTCCAAAATTGTCCATTTCTGTGGACAATCTCAACGTCAATTAGAGAGACATTACTGTGTACAGTGAATTCTCCCCAATTGTCGCTCAGCTTGCAAACGAAAATGGACAATTTGGGAAGAGAGGATACGATTACCCAACCCTTGCGCCTCGTTTTTATAGTTGTTGACAATCGATAACTATAAAAATGAGTGTCGCGAGGTTCGAATAATCGTATCTCTTTCTTCTCAAATTGCCCATTTTCGTTTCTAAGCTAAACGTCAATTAGGGAGAATTTACTCTACTATCTCCGTGATCGAAAAAAAGGTTTATCGAGCTACTCTTTCCCTGAACTTTTCAGAACAATTCGGGGCATTGATTCCACAACAAGATCAGCAATATCCTCGACGATAGATTACCTCGCCTATGGGACTAGTTTTCTTCTATTTATTGTATTTATTGTATTTACCGTACTGTGTTTCCAATACATTCGAATTATTTGTTAAGTACAAATGTCATTCGTATCTTTCTTTCTCGTCTGAAAGCTTGCAATTAAAAAAGTTCGCATGCGCGATACTCGATCTCTCGACGTTACAAATATTATCGATTCGCTTTTAAGCATACAAAAATGCTGCTTTAGCGTTTGTTCCGGTGTAACGTTCTAAGAACGCTTCGATGCCCGGGATAACCGATAAAAAAAAAGAAAAGAAAAGAACAAAGCTTCTTTCCGAGAGCTTCTCAATGGACGTAGAGCTGATTTACAATTCCGGCCGGTTTAAATCGATTACGTTCGGAAACGGAAAGAGGGGAAAGATGGCGGAGATAAAGCGAACGTCCAGATTCGTTGCATTGTGCAGCGTCGAAGATGCCGGCGTTAAAGTCACGCCGCGGCGCGGCAGCGATCCAGCGATCCTGCAGATTCTTATCCTGCGATCTGCCCGCGGCGGGCGGGCATCGCCGATCTGAAAGTGCCGCCACGCCGAGCCGCGTCGAGCGGCTTCGCATCGGTGCCATTTTTCGTGGCTTGCTTACTTATGCCGTGCAGTGCCACAAAGAGGCTGCCCAGCTACGGGAACAAACAACTTCGCGAACGCCGCGAGAAACAAAATCGATGGCACGCGTTTATGGAAATATGTACGATCTAAGCGCGTTGCGCGATCGAGCAGCATTTAGATCGCACAATAAACGGAACAATAGCAAGGCGGAAGATCGTTCAAATAGCTTGAAGCTGGGCAAGTTACAACGACGAGGCGTAGAAGCGATTGACCGACAGAACCAAGCCGCGTATAAATTCGTTTGTTTAGCGGAAGTCCACCTAACCTGATCGGCGCGACAACATGAATTCTTAACAGTCACACCTCTTCTTTGGTCCGGTTCTCAAAATTAAACGAGTTTAAAACTGAAACGTTTGTTTCCCCGATTCCCGAACGAACGCGGGACTTTCGATCGCTAGAGCACGCCGACGATGAGCCGAACACGATGAATCGCCTGAAACACGTATTAGGATCCAACGTGTCCCACACAGTATTATCCCGTAAGATTTCCTTGTAATCCTCGTAATCCTCAAACTTTCATTCCATTACGATAAAAGCTTCTTTCCGATATTAACCGAATATTATTCGCAAGACGTCATTAGCACGAGACGTAATTCCGATCTACGATGGACCGCGTCCCGTGTGAAACGGGCTGTCGACCCGAAATTCGCCGACAACGGGGAGCAGCGGGACAATTCGGCTGGATCGCAGAAACGCAGGCTGAAATCGAGGACGATCTTGGGCAAGAGAGCGTTGGAGAAATACTCGGAAGAAGAACGTTTCCAGAATCGTCGGAGAGCCTCGTGTCAGGCCAAGAAATCGAGCTCCCAGTACAGCAATCGCAAACAAGTTGGCAAACCAACGAATTCTAAGAACGACGCGGAAAGCGTAGAAACGGCCGTGATCGAGGACGAGGCAGGATCGTACGCGCGGATGATAGCTGCCTACAGCGAGGACGTGTACTCGAAAAACGCGTTCGCAGCCCCGAAAGACGGCGCCGGTTCGGCGATGATCGCGAGAACCCGTCCGAGTCCGTTCAGCAACTCTTGCGTGATCTCGATGAAGCCGTTCCTTTCGGCGGGTCCCGTCGCCACGAGCCACGAGGCGAAGTTCAGCACAGAGACGTCCGCGGTGCAGAAAAATCTTAGAAATTCTCGCGGCGACTCGGTCGAGAGCGGAGGAGCCGAGAACGAGCTGGAGAGGTCCGCGACCTACGCGGCGATCATCGAGAGGTACAGCCACACCGTGACCCTGAACGTCGACCCCCGAGCATGGGGAAGCAACGGAATATCGAGACGGCACGTCTCCACGAAGTTCGACAACGTGTCGGGGACGGCCGGGGAGACGGAGGGCGTCGCGGTGGCCGCCGAGACGAAAGAGATCGTCGGGTGCAGCAAGAAAAGTATCCCGGACGGTTCGAGCGGGCCAAAAGCGAACGACAACCGCGAAAAAAGAGAGGTCAGGCGGGAATCCCAGACGACTAAGGATGTAATAAAGGATCCGAGGCGAATCGCAACGATGAAGGATGACACTGACGCCAAGTCGCGGGAGAAGTTGGCGTCGCAGCCGGCGGAGGAGCCAAGCGATTGGCTGGAGAAGATGGTCGAGGCGCACAAGAAGAGGATCAGGGACAGAAAAGCGGCGTCCGCAAGAACTCCGGAAGGGGCCAATGAGAACGTCGAGATGTCCGGTAACAAGCCCACGAATCCGATATCCGACTACATCAGGCGCGGAGCTACGGGCTCGAACGCTCAGAGAGGAGCGGGCCAGGCGTCGACGAGCAACTCCGCCCAGTCGTCGGCCGTCTCCGATCCGGCCAGGCAGCCTCAAATAGAGCTGAGGATGACGCCTTCGCAGAACGAGTCGGTGGTAGCCATCAACGTGGACGAGCTCTCCCGGAACTTCCAGGCCGGCCAGGATCGTCTCTCGGTGGTGATCTCTTCGAAGAAGAACGCGAACGCTCCTGACAGGGCGAACGCGGAAACTCGGCCAGATTTCGGCTCGATGCAGATATCCATCAGCGAGGACACCGTCCCGGTGAAGCAGATCGAGTTCTCGATCAACGGGAAGCCGGTGTCGGAGTTGAAGAGCATCGTCGCCAGAACGGACAAACTGGACGTGCTCGGCTCTATGGACAAAGTGGAGATCAGGATACCGTCCAAGGATAACAACAATGCTAGGACGACGAACCAGCAATACGTAGCCAGGCCAGCGGCCCACCCGGCTGTTCTGAATCTTCATATAAACGCTAAATTCAACGATCCGCGAGTACAACAGCCGAAAAGCACCGGAGCGAAGCGCGAAACTTCCCCCGCAACGCCTCGAGTTATCCCCCCGAATCAGAGTCCTGTTCCTCCGAGGTCGTACAAGGTTTCGTCCAGCAGCCAAAACGAGCCAGTAAGCAAACCCGGCGATACGGTTGCCAACGTCGAAGGCGGCGAAGAGCTCCTTAGAAAGTCACAAATTAATCCTACCGAAGTGTTTCAGAGAGGAGCTAGCAGAACGCCCTCCAACAACCTCGCCGGAAACGTGGACAAAGCAGTGAGTGAAAACGCGAACTCGGGAGCGAATCAGCTACCCAGGAATTCTCAGGACACAAGGGTGAACCCTGAGAAGCCTGGACGGGATGGTTCGAACCGAGAACCGTCGAACATGATACCGTGGTGGTCCTCCGAGGAGGCTTTCAACAACATCAAGAGGAAAGGAAGCGGCGGCAAGGACGCGTCCCCGGGAATAGTCGACGCTGTTGCAGAGCCGAAGAGACCCGAAGCGAGCGTCGAAAGGATCTGCAAGATCTCGGACTACAAGCCTGAGAGCGCGGATATCGGCAAATCTGCGGAGAATGCGGAGATCGTCGCGCAATCGTCGCGAATGGAAGTCGAACGAAAGGAAGTCAGAGTCGAAAGGTCGCGCGAGCTTTCGGACGCCAATGTGGTCAAGGTGACGAGCTCGCAGAGATACGTGCCCACGAACAAATCCTCGAAACAACACGCGAAACGGAAGAGTAAAGTGGCGAAGAAGGCGAGCCGCGTCAGGTCCACGACGAAGACGACTCCGAAACAGCATTTCGACTGGCCGATCAACTCGGTGCCGTCTCCGAAGGTCGTGAAATTCGTAGCGGTGACTCCCCGGAGGGTCGACGTGGACAGCGGAACGGAAACGAAGAGCGCGGCCGTGAAAAATCGGCCGACAATCGAAGAGGAGACCAGGGGACAGAGGGGGGACGCGGCACGAGCGGCGGACGGAAACGCGGAGCGCTCGGACACGGTAATCGAACCGGCCGATTTAGAGAGATCCGCTAATAGATCTGCTGGTGTTTCAGCCAAGTCTGCGTCGGCTGCGAGCGAATCCGGTACGGGAGCTGCGGAAGGGAAAGCGCCGGACAAAATGAGCGACGCGATTAAAAAGCTTCTGCCGGGAGGTCGGCCACCCGGCAAGCGCGTCGTCGATCGCAGAATGGCGGAGATCCTGAAGAGCATGAAACCGATCGAGAAGCGGGAGGATGGCACCTTGATCGATTACGGGGTGACGGTGTCCTCGAGGAAACCGTCGAAAAGCAGGACCGACGCGAACGGCGTGCCGCAGGTTCTGCCGGTGTCGAAAAATCTGGCCGATCGACCGAACAGCGCCAAGCTGAAGCAAGATGCACCTGGCCGGATCGAAATTATTCGTGAACTGAAAGTATCTACGAAGACGAAGGAAGTTAAGGACGATCGGGCGAAGGTTCTCGAGGGCGAGAAGTTGTCGTCTGGACGGAAAGAAGTGCCGAAGTCCAAGGGTTGGGACAAGGTCGTCGATCTTGCGAAGATCTCCTCGGTCAAGAAGGAGACCCTGACGGAGCCGAAAGTCGTAACTAAGCAATCGAAGGTCGTTGAACCGGTCAAGGTGCTCTCGGCGAAGAAGCCAAACGTGCCGGAAGACGCGACGTCCTCGACGACGAAGAAGCAGTTGCATCAAGGACCCGGGAATATAACCTATCAGCCGCGGCTGGACTCGGAGTACATGCTTTCGAAACAGTGGGTTCCAGATGCGGATCGAGAATCGGACAAGTTTCGACACTCTCGAGCAAAGGCGCGACTCGAAGGGACGAAGGAGACCGTCGATGCACCGATAAGCTCTGATTCGATGAAAATATTGCCGACCGAAAGGACCGGCGGCGGGGCAAATTTAGTAAAATCAAAGGTTTCTTCGAAGCCGACGCGGGAGTCTGCCGATAAAAAGGAAACGCCGTCGATTACGTCGAAAGGATTGGAAGCAAGATCGGGTGTCACGGAGTCGTACAACCCTCAACTGACTGTGAAAAAATGTCGGATCCGCTCCTGTCCGCCGACGCAACGCGCCGCGGACAAAAAAGCCGAAAAGATGCCTCCAGAAATTGTGGACGAACGTTTCAAGGTGACCGGAGCTGCGCCGTTGAAAGGAACGATTAGACAACAGCCATCGAAAGGCAATTTAGCTAATTTCTCGAAGGTCGGCAAGGTGGAAAGGGTGGAAACACCCAGGCCAGATAACACCGAATCTGGCGGAGGGTCTTCAGGCTTCGGCAACTTTATCGTAGGACCCGCAGGCTTGAAATCGTCAAGGTCGTTTGTGATGCACACGATAACTTCGGCCGACAAAGTATCCAAACGTGTGTCGACCTCGTTGCAAAGAGAAGAGAAGCTTCGCGGCGAGGAAATGACCGACGTCGAAAAGCCGATCAACGAAGAACATCGTCAATTGTATCTGGCACCGAGTCGAAGCGAGAGGCCGGAGAAGGATTTGTTGTACGCGTCCTGGTTGCAACGCTTCAAGAACAGCATCGACGATGACAAGATATTGTAGTAAATCCGTTGAACCCGATTCGCGCTTGTTGCCGCTCGAGCTTCGCCAACTTCACCAAATTATTTCGCAGTTCGGGCCGATTTTTCAGAATCTTATTTTGTACCCTTCTTATACAGTATTTTATGTATATTTTTGTTACCTCCACATCACGTATTGTAAACGAATGAGATCAACATTATTCGTCATCGTTCGTATCGTATCGACACCCTCGTCTTCCCTCGAATCTTCGAAGATATTTTGCTCCAGCAACAACAACAAAAAACTTCCCGAGCATCGACCGATCGTCTCGAAGCTCGTCTTTAATTTCACCGGAAAAGTGTACGGAGCTCGTTTATAAATAAAAACGTGTGCACATTGTTCCCATTCCTTTAGAGCACTTTCTTTTGCGACGCGGAACAATCGCGGCGTGGAATGATAAACAATTAATTGTTCGACCGCTTATTCGGCCGATTAATTACGTCGGCGGACCGCACTCGAAACGTTTAAATCGTTCGGCCGGGCTCGGTGTTTCTCGCAGTGTCCGAGCCGGACAAACAATAAGTTCAACCCCGAACGAACGCACCGTCCCGCGCCGCGTCCACTTGGGCCCTGAACGGGTTAACCGGTCGAAATTGGATTTCAATTTAGCCGGTAAGAAAGACGCCCTTGATCGGGCCGGGCCAGGTAGCATTGTGTCCATTGTGCCCTCGAAATCAATCGATCCTCCTGTTTGGACGCGGCAACGAGCGGGGAGAGAGAGAGAGAGGAGAGAGGAGAGAGGGGCGAAGGGGGGGCCGGGCATTGGTTGTCTGGCGGCGTTTACTCGCGCGTTGCGCGTCGCTCGTTCGCGTAATCAACACCCTTGACCGGTGCAATGGTACCGGATCGACGTGGCCGAGGGTGGGGGCACGGGGGGACACAATGGTTACGATGTTGTTTGCGCAAGAGTAATCGACCACCTCGGCCGCGGGCAGTTTTATAAGGGCCCACGAGAGCCGAGATTGGGTAATTAAAATTCTCATTAAAGCCAGCGCGCAACGGCGGCATCTTAAAACGCGGCTCGGCGCGGACAATGGGCCCTCGAAACGAGGCCGCGGGGCCCCGGAGCAAAGTGGGGCCCCGAAAGAACTGTGCGCGACGCGGCGCGGCGCGGCGCGGCGCGACGGGTTCGGGTTCTGGTTCGGGTTCGGGGCCCGGAGACTCGGGGCCCGGTGAGAGGCAGAATGGAACGAAGCTAACAGGCCATGAAGAAAGAGGAAACCCGTGCCGAAGTCTCGTTTACAATCGAGGTATCCGGAGAGCAGTCGAATCTCCGCTCTGCGCCCCTCCCGCGTGTCCAGGCTTGTTCTTCTACACCTCGTAAAATTCCTGGTGCCGCTACACCGTATCGCTCCACGGTTTTTACTCGTCTCTTTCTGGAATTCACCGGGTCCTATCGATGAATCCCTCGCTTTGTAGAAGAAATTTATTGGCGTCCGTTAATGCGTTCCCCCGTCGCGTCCCGTCGCGTCGCGTCCGATCGAAGAAGAAGATTTTAATTGCCCCGGCATAATGGCCCGCGGGAACAGTAAATCGTTTTTCTACGAATATTACAATCGCTCGACGACGGATCCCCTCCATTACGTCCTATTCTTAAAACGGGTCGCGAACTTTTCCCCTGTAATAATCGGCGTACATTCCTGCGCCGCGGAGGACCGCTAATGCTTCGCCGGCCATTATTATTTTCGAACACGCTTCTTACGGTACACCGAGCAAATTTATTGCATCGTTCTTCCCCTCGATATTCGTAACCGGACCAGGGATTTCCTGTATTTACAGCGTTTCTCATTTTCTGAAACCGAACCCGGAATAGCGTTATCCATGCGCGGACGACGAAATTATTTGCTCGTTTGAACATTAATTTGTCCGCTGATCTACGCGCAGCTGTCTTCCTAATTTGATTAGGATCCCCGCAAAATGCAACGATATTGAAAATACAATCGATGTCGCGCAACTGAATCTTTCAATTCCGGTTTGATTAACCAGTTAGTCCATGATCTTCGCACCTAATGGGGAACGTGACACCGAAAGTCTGCAATGAAAGTCGAACTTCGTAGTGGGATTTTGTAAACACTTTTTTTATTTCGATTATAGATACATTCTTCATCGCAGGGTTAAGAGTGATAACGTTGTCAGTGGTCTTTGTTTTATAAACGAGCGAAAAATCGTATTCTATTAACACGTTCCGTGCCGAGCTTTCTTTACTCGAATCTTCACACTTTGATATTTTACTAAAACTTGATGTATTACGTGCAATTATTAATTCTCGTACACATAACAACGTAACAAAAACTTATCAACGCCCATTCTTGCGGTGGAAATTGATTCTTCGGTTCTAAATTTCTTGTAAACAATTTGTTCAGTTCACTAAGTAAACATGCAAGCGTGTACCATCGATGGTACACCTGTCTCTTATACACATCTAGATGTGTATAAGAGACAGGTGTACCATCGATGGTACACGTGGCACGGAACGTGTTAACCAGTTAGCTGTGTTTGACGAGTATACTCGTCATGGAGAAGCGGCAGCGTTTTGCGCCATGGCGAGTATACTCGTCGTGCTATTTAAATTGTAATTTTAGTGAAAACAAAAACATATTCTCAAATTTCAAGACGTTTCGAATATTTCGAGGCCAATCGTACACGAAAGTGTTTACATTGTTACAGAAATAAGATTAGAAAAAGATCACGATATCGGTATTCGACGCGCGAAGTGCGAAATATATATAATTATATATTGTTCCTTGCTTTGCTAAATACCACTCTTTCTACAGCAGCAATTTGAATTTGTAGCTTTTATAAGTATTTGATTATCCCTGGGTTTTTCATTTTATTATGTATATGGTGTACGTCAACGTCAAGTGAATAAGTAAATATTAGTAATAAAATAGTTAATTTTATCAAATAAAACCATCTTTTTGACCCAACATTTTAACAGCGACACTTACTCTGTATTTGACGAGTATACTCGTCATCGCTAGATTCTCGCGACACACATAAGTGCGCGTTCTGAAAAGGAGTCGCCACAGTTAACTGGTTAAATCAAATTTATTCGTTTTACGAAATTCTCGAGCCGACACTAAAAGTGTGCTTAATCGCGTAACTTACTTACCAGGCAAGGTGCCATTTCGCTTCAGAACATTGTTACCGCCGAACGCTTGCGCAACGATGAATGTAAGATTTGCACGGGATCAAAGTAGCAGACCAGTTGGTCACGAACGCATTGAAAATTGCAGCACCGCCGCTATGGTATAGAGAATCAAAAATTGAGGCACGGTCACGCGCAGCCGCAAACCCTGCGCCGGGAGTATGAAAAGAACGTAACATTTGCAACCCGGGCAGGTCATAATGGGCATAAATATAGCGTGCGATCGGAGAAACGAATGCTGAAAGGATCGACTCTATCGAGGGGACCGCGAGAGCAACGCGAGTTTCGGAGTCGCGGTCGAGACGAATCGACGTATCGATGCCGACGCCGATACCGGTGATTACGCGAACACTCGGCAGCCTCCAATTTCGGGCCCTCCAACGCGAAAAGCGGCCCGCACGGTCGCGCCGCGCCGCGCAGCGCCGTTAGGTGAAGCGGGCCCCATCATCGAGGGCGCCGTCGAACGTCCCAAAACCCGTCATTACACACGCGTTCGCCGCGCGCATAACCCCGTTCTGACAGGTTGCCAGTCATTCGAAGTAATGCGCCTCGACAGGCCGAGGTTAAGCGAAGCTTTATCGATGCCTACATGCCTGGCGCATTCCGGCCGATGCAGGAGAGGATCCGCGAGCGGTTCTGTTCCCCAGCGAGCTTCGCCATCCAACACTTTTTTCATACTTTTTCATTCTGTCCCTGTTTTCCCGCTGTCGATTTTATTCCGTGCAACTTTACCGCTCCGTATTTTCGCGAATGTTGCGTGCAACATCGAAGGCATCTTGCTCGAAGACCCACCGGTGCACGAGGCGTCGAGCTTAGCCGGTCCTCGGAGACGTATTGGGTCTGGGAGAAAGTTCGTGGCGTTTTCCCGATAGATGTCGTCAATTGTTAATAACTCACGAACAACTTATTGCAACAATACCATTAAACGCTTCATTTAAAGGTGACACATTGAACGTTATTTTGGGTGTATAAACATCGTGGTGGTGCAGTACTTGGAAAGTTGTTGGCGTTTGAAAATGGAGAGAAATAATGAGAAATTTTGCTGTGTTTTATAATATTATTACGACAAAGGGAAGAACGCTGTGCAGGCTTGTGAAAAAATTTGTGCTGTGTATGGTAAAGGTACACTATCAAAATCAGCTGCGCGGAAATGGTTCGCTCGCTTTCGTTCTGGTAATTTTGATGTGAAAGACGAGTCATGCTCTGGTCGTCCGCTCTGGAAACCGCAGAAGTTCTTCACCGATGGCATCATGATTCTACCCGAAAAATGGCGAAACATTGTCGATAATAATGCAGCATATTTGGTTTAAATAAATTCATTTTCACAATATAAGAAATCCAGTTGAATTTTACTAACAAAACGCCACGAACTTTTCCCCAGACCCAACATAATCCCCAAAAAGAAGATCGCTAGGTCTCGGTATGCATCGGAATCGTTCGTACGCGAGGGTATTATTCAATTAGCCGAGTGGCTCGAGGGGCAGGCCAGTTAGAGATAATGACAAAGCTTGCGCGATGATAATGGCAGTTTGCGTCGGTGCGGCACTCGCGCTCGAATCATCGTTTATTCACGACTCGTCGGAATCGCGAATGCGAAGTGTATCGTCGACGAGGATCGCGAGACATGTTGATTATCGGGATCGGGAGTCGTTCATATTCAGGAATGTAGATGAGCCCGGGCTGTTTTCGCCCCGGCGTCCATCCTGGAGCCCTGAGCGTTCCTCTCCTCGGGCCCAGCACCTTCTTCGATCGAGCTTTCTTTCTGCTCTTGAGGGGAACTCCGTCGGCCCTGGTTCAGCCTCGTAATGAAAGCCGATCCGACCCCATCGGGGTCCGCGGTTCATCCCCGGGCCACCGATTTGATTTATCGTGCCGTTGCTCGTGGTCTGTTAGAAATATCCGGGAACAACCTTTCCTGCCTGTCCATCGGTCATCTAGCCGGCGGAAGAGATTCCCCGCTGGCTTTTCCCGCTCGCTCGGCCCCGGCTTAGCTTTCCAGTCGTTTGATATTCAAAGGATTCCGGGCCCTCGGAGGAAGATCGATCATCCGACGCGTCGCGTCGGCTCGCTTTTTGGGGCGTGAGCCGAACCACCTCGGAACAAGTGCTATTGTGTCGAGGTTTCGCACGTGACGACGTGCCGACCTTCTCTTCTCTCTCTCTCTCTTTCTCTCTCTCTCTCTCTCTCTCTCTCTCTCTCT